ATTATGGGGGCATGTTAAAAGGACATTGGGACCAACTTAAAGGAGCTCCCATTGGTCAAATCCAGGAAAATTTGAAAAAAATAATGATTACAATACATGAAAACCCCCAAAATAAATACCCATAAATCCATACTGATGTAAAGTAACAACTGAATACATAAATAAATGGGGAAGAAAGACAGTTCTTCCGTACAGTCAATTTCCAACGAAAAAGTATAGGAAGTATCTTGGAAACAGAAACCGTCATTAGGTAAACACCATAGTAATAATTGCTGTAGGCAAGAATATTCAATAAATGCTTAAATTAAATGCAAAAGAGATTACTTGCATAGTCTCAAAGTATCTTCCAAAAAGATATTTATTAATTACAAAGAGAGGAAAATAGTAACTTTGCAGTGGAGAAACCTGGCAGACTGTACCTTAATCAAATGATCATATTTAACATCAGCAAAAATAAGACACATTGACATCATGTACCCCCTAGATATGTTCTGCTGAAAAGGGTACACTATTATTGCTGTGTTATTTTTATCAAAAATATAAAACGTCAATCTAAACATGAGAAAACACCAAACAAATCCAAATTGAGGACTATAATACAAAATCATGATTTAATATTCTTCAAATGTGTCAATTTAATGAAAAACAAAGAAAAACTGAGGGAACTCTTCCAGATTTGTAGTTGGGGGATTGGGAGCAGGCAAAGGAGATACAACAAATAAATGCAATATGGAATCCTGAACTGGATGCTGGACTAGATATAAAAAGGACATTAGTGGGGCAACTGGAAAATTTTTAATATGGTCTTCAGATTAGTTAACAGCATTATATCAATGTTAATTTCATGATTTCAATAATTGTTATATGTAATAATGTTATAATAATGGTTATATAAGATGCTAACATTAGGAAAGCTGGGTAGAGAATATACAGGAACTCTATTTTTGCAAATTTCCTGTAAGTTTAAAACTACTTTAAAATCATAAGTTAAAGTTGGAAAAACATTAAACAGAAATTTTACTAAAGAAGATTTACAACTGGGCGATAACCTCATTAAAAATTGTTTGACTTCTTATGTGACCAAATTTCAAATTGAAGTCACAATATACTACCTCACATCCACTTAAATAAATAAGACTTAAAAAGACCAACAATATCCAATGTTGGTGATAATGGACAGTAACTGAAAATCTCATGTATTACAGGCTAGGAGTGTGAAAAGTTCCACCTCTTTAGAAGACTTTGGCAGTTTCCTATAAAGTTAAGGAAAAATCTACCTTATAAACAAGCAACTCAATTTGTAGGTAACTACATATGAGATCCGTTAACAAATTCAAAATAGCTAAAAACTGGAAACAATCCAGGTGTCCATAACAGAAGCATGGACAAGCAAATTGTAATAGTCCCACTCAATGGAATATTATACTGTAATTACAAAAAATAAAATAAAATAAAATAAACCTACTGGTATAGGGAATAGCATGGATGAATCTCAATATCATTATGATTAGTAGAAGAAGACAGACACATACTGTGTGATTTCTTTTATACTAATTTTGAGAGCAGGCAAAACTAATCTATGATCATAGAAATCAGAGTATTTTCTTCTTATGAGAATTTGCTTGGCTGGAAAGAGGCAGTTAGGTAATAAAAATATTCTATCTCCTAAATAAGGTAATAGTTACTTATAAGAAAACTCATTAAATTATACAATTAAGATCTAAGCATTTAATTATGTAAATTTTACCTATGTAAAAATATAAATTATTAAAAATAATAAGAAAGCTCCTCATACAGTGATATGTAATAATCTGCTGAAATATTAAAATATATATTACATAAGTATTTAAAAGAAAGTCAAGGAACAATATGTATGTGTGTGCATGTATATTTGTATCTATAAACACACACATTTTGGGGTGTGACAAATGTGTGTGTGTGTGTGTGTGTGTGTGTGTGTGTGTGTGTATAAAACAATAAATCAGTAAAGCTTGTTGTTTCCAGGAAGGAGAAACTGGGTAGATAAGTAGGACAGAATTGAGAAGATGAATGACTTTTCACTGAATACCCTTTTGTAAATTAGAATTTTGTAAAATATATTATGATTTTTAAAATAAAAATTTAAAAATTATTTTGGGGGAAAAGAAGTGTTATGATTTTTCTCTAGCTTATTTGAAAATAATTTAAAAATAACACGAACCAAATACAGCAAAAGGTTGATAATGGTGGAACCTGGACTCTGGTTCTGAGTATGTGCACATTCACTGTTCTTGTCTCTTTATACTCCGTATATTTACAAAGGGTTCCTCATGGAAAGTTTTATAAAATGCACAACAGAGAAATTCATTACCAAGAACAAGTGAAAATAAATGGGTTACACATGTTTCAGAATTTATTAAGAAAAGAAACAAAGGAATACAGAAAAATATATAAATTAATTAGAACATTTCAAAAAAATTGATAAAGTATACCAAAGACCTGATTGGAAGAGATGAGAGCGGAAGGCTAGTGATGCTAAAAATCCACTAATTAAATTTATTTCTTAAAGAACGCATGGCAGAAATAACCAAAACTGGAATAAAAATGGATACATAATTGAAATGAGAAAATAAATAAAAGAACACTTTGTATAACTTTATGATAATGTATTTGAAAATCTGCACAGATTGTGATTCTCTAGGAGAAAACAGGTTAAATATAAAACACAAAACAAAACAATCAATAACCATATGGGAAAAAAATGAAAAAATTTTCTAGATAGCTTCACTTCCACTCCAAATCACTAAAGCCAAAGAGAATTCAGATGATTTCATTGATGTGTTCACTTAACCATTAATAGTAAGTAATGCTGGCTAGAGCTTATCAACCCATTCTAGAGCACAGAGTAAGAAGAAAATCTTCAAAATTATTTTAACACAACCAGAAAATCTGATATCAAAACATGACAAAAATAGCACAAAAAAAGAAATATCACATAAAAACCAACAAACAAAAAAAACACAAAAAATTCACAAATCAATTTCACTTAGTTGTATACTTGCAAAATTCTAAATCAAATTAAAATACCCATAATTCAGCAATAAATTAAAATAAACATTTAAAAACTAAATTGTGTCTGTTCATTCAAGAAATTTAAAAAAATGTCAATAATAGAAAATGAATTACTTCACACTGATAAAAGTTTTAAAAAAGAATACTAAAAATTGTTATGCAACAAGCATTTGATTACCTGGTTTTGATTAAAATTCCTTAGAAAAATATAAAAGGTGGGAGACTTTCCTAATATGTAAGACAAAATATCTCAAACTTAAAATTAGCATTTTACATTGATGATTAAGATAACCCACATCAAAATAACTTACCTATTGGAAATAAGACCTGATACCACCCCCAGCAGAGTCCTGCCCGGCAAGATAAAACTGTAAACCAATAAATAAATTCGGTTTGCTCATCTAGGCAAATAGCTCTTCTGTCATTGATAACATCTGACATAGGCAAACAGCTCACTTACCAGACAATGATTTGATTATCAAGACTCACATTAAGAACCTCAACTCCCGCCAATCTTAAACTATTGCATGATGAATTTTGCCCATTCCTAATTAGCTCCCTGCCTTCAACCATATCAGCCAGATCCCAAAGCCCTAATTTCCTGCTTTGGAAACACTACTAAACCATGTCAAGGTGGTGTTTTCCCTTGCTGCAGTAAGTTTAATAAACTGCTTTGCTAGATCATAGCTCTTTCTGGTGGTCTTTTGGGAAAACAGACCAGCAACAATGTGCTGGTCAAACTCAAGAAGCATTTCCATTAAAGCCTGATTAAATCAAGGGTGGGTAATATTTCCACAATTATTTAAGTGCTCTGAAAGTACCAGTCTGTGAACGTTATCAACAAAATTAAAATCCGGACCAATTGGGAGGGGGAAATAAAAATGATTAACATTTGCGAAGGATTTAGTACATACTTTGAAAAAATTGGAAAAGTAATGACAGTGAAGTGACTACTTACCCCAAAAAGAAAACAAAACTTTCAAACATAGAAAAGTGAACAAGAAAATAAATTGAAAGAAAACCTCCCATCACCAAAGTGGAAACATTAACAGTAATTTAAATTAATGAACAACAAAAAAAAGACATACCTTGTCCTTGGATACAAAGACTTAATATTATTAAAAACGAATTCTCCCCTAAATTAATTTATTAAGTTGATGAAATTGCTGTCTAAACTGTAATTTCTTCTAAAGAGAAAACACATGAAACAGGTGGCAGAAGAGACATACAGATCCACAGAACAAAAATGGAGCCAGTCACAGATGAAAATACAGCATATGTGCAAGATGGCATTACAGATAAATGGGCAATTATTGGCAAATAATCGCAGGTAATGGCAAATAACTTGGCAACTTTAAGATTTTTGAAATAAAAAATTTCTCATGATTTGAGAATTTGAATTAAAAAAACACAAAAGAATTAGAAGTTAACACAGGTGAAGGGTTTTATGAACTCAGTATAAATATCTTTCCAAAAAATAACATGAAACTCAGAAGCCATAAAAGCAAACATGGTCATACTTGGACATATAACAATCATACACATTTTTATAACAAAAACGAAGTAAAAAGGTTATAAAAAGTAAAAAGAATATCTGTAATGTTTGACAATCCAAACCTTATTTCCCCAACAGTAAATGAGCTCTTAGAAATCAGGAAGAGACTAAAACCTCCCCTCACCCCCAAAATTAGACATAAAGAGGAAATTAAAAAATACAGATGGCTGATAAACATATGAAAAAATGATCAAACTCAAAAATAAAAGAAATACAATTTAAGACAATAGCTTGGGCGATCACATTGGCAAAGATATCAAATATTTATAAAATCCATTATCTTTGTGGGAAAGCTGGAAATCTCATTCATTGCCATTTCAGGATAAAGTTGTTAACCACATATATTTAAAATATCTTGCAAAATTTGAAGTGTGCATATACTTAATTCTAGTAATTCAACTGCTAAGTAATTTATTATGATATAATAGACAAATGCAAAGTTATTGAAATATAAGGAGGTTCATTGCACAGAAATTTGGTACTAACATAAATATCTATGAATGAGAAATGCTTAAAACATTGAATTATATTTCATCTACAAAACAGTCATGCAGTCATTCAACAAATGACACAGATGTGTATGTATTACTGAAATAGAAGAAGGCCTTTGAAAATATTGTTAAATGAATGAGGCATTTTGCAGAAGAACATGTTACAATATGACCCCACTTCCAAACCCCTTCAAAAAAATAACTTAATGTGTGTGTTTGTGTGCATATATCCACTAAGAGAATGCACACAACTCCCTTATAGAAGAAAACTATGGGAATAGAATTGGAAGAGAGAGGGCACTTAATTTATATATTAGTTATTTAAATATGCCTTGAATTTTTGAAAAAAAATAATGCAGTTTCTTTTTAATATATCCTTTTTTTTTCAATTTACCATATGGCAAATGAAAATTATAAATGTATATTTATGGGAGCACTGAGCAATTCCACCATTTTGAGCTTCTTGTGTAATAATTTCCTCAACTGAGGTTCCTGGGATTGAGTCAAGTGGCAGCAAGGGAAACAGTCACCATGCCCAAATTAAAGTCTCATCGATGATATCCCAACATGAGCATTTCTCAGTTAATCATTTCTTATCTGCAGGAGGTATCCACTGCAACACAGGAAAGAGAGGAGTCTCCATGCATAAGGAAGACTGTATCATTGTTTTGGTGAAGCTGCTGATAGAAGTAATGGCACCAACTGTAACAAATCCACCTCATATTTGTGGTCATCACCTGCAAGGGCACAGTGGGGAAAATTGACAAAGGTAAGAAACACATTTCCTAAGGAGTCAAGGGACTATGAAATCCTTGCTTACTCTTCCCCCACATATGCTTGAACAAATCTACCCAGAGTACACAGAGAAAGCCACATTTCCAGTGGTTGAGTCCATGCTGTGCCCAGAAAAATGACTTTAAAACTCCCTACATGAAGTATGCCAGATATTGGTGCTGCTTTTTCTCCTTTTGCTGATCTAAAAAGTGATGGACATCTCTAACCGCCTCCGATTTTGTGTCTCTTTCCCTCTGTATTTGGCTCCTTAAAGCTCTAGATCACTCAACCATTTGATCAATTATTTCAGATAAAACTATTTGTCAGATTTCCAGTCTAACCTGTATTAAGAACCTACTGTGTCTCATGCATACAACAATTCTCTAGTAACACAATGAATCCAGCCATGAAGGAGCTCAGTCTATTGAATGAGAGAAGAAAAGTTAAGGAAATTCTTCATATTAACAGTCAATGTACTGAGATATAGAAAAGCCATAAACGTATGTAAAAGAAGCTGTAGCTTTTCACCCATTACACAATCTGGCCCTTGGAGTCAATTAGAACCTAACCAAAAGTCATCAATCTTCTGAAAATTAACATCTCATTTCCTACACAGACATGGCTTCTCCTAGAAAGCAAGGACTATTCTAAGTAAAACCTTACCTTCAGAGGCTGGCTTTTAGACAATAGGTAGGTGAAGAGGCTTGTTGTCTGAGGAGTCTTGTTTCAGGGATTTACTGGTATGGTTCAATCCCAGAAGATTGAGTTCCCAGGAAGTCATTTTCCGAGGTGAAAAACAAAAACAAGAAACACCACTTCCAATGCAGCTAGAATCTGGGAACTTAGTCTTTGCTACTCTGTCAGATTGATTTCACTTGGAAGCTGCCCCCTGTATTCACACAACTCTGAAGCCATAACTCGCTGTTCATAACTCCATACATTTCAATATCAGCACATTACATTAGGGCCCCCCTTCTCTCCTGTGCATTCCCCAAACCAAGTAGATTGAATCCCACTGAAAATTATGTCTCCTATACTCTTTAATCATTTATCTTTTGCTGCTTAGTTGGCCACGTTATTCACAAAATCACTCAAAATAATCTACACATATATCTCTCCTCAATAAAAGTTTATTTGGAACCTATTCTATGACAGCTAATTGACAAGAAGCTTGTGTCACAAAAAATGAACTGAAAAATATTTGGGCATAAGAAATTAAAAGTCCATTGGATGAATCAACCATACAAATAAAGAACAGAGACATAATGGTCTCATAGAGGGAAAGTCAGTTTTAGGATGGGACTCATGAGGAAAGATTCCCCACATTTAGGAAGATCTATTATGACCAAATAAGCTGTAACTCCCCATTGCAGTACTCACACTCCTCTGGCTCTATGATGGGGTTTTGTGCTATTTAGCTGCAACCAAATGTCATTAACTCTAAAAAGAGCCAGACCTATCAACTTCTATCCATCCTAGGCCTGTTTCCTATAAACACGTAGTTCCTGCCCATATAATCATACCTGCAAGGGCATCCAAGAGACCATAAGTAGGAGCGGAGAGCCAATGACTGGGAGGAAAGTTGTTGCTCATTCTCTGGAGCTGACATTCAAGAGGTAAGGCAAGGGCATGGCAGTGTTCCTTCTCTTCTATGCACTATCATTACCTGACCAAAAAAAAAAAAAAAAAGGAAAAATAACATTTTAGGAAAAAATATACGCACATCTACAGGTGCACCTCTCTGTACATGTAAAACATACACGCACGCATAATCTAATTTAACAATAAGATACTCATGAAGTGTGGGTATCCTGTGCTGTGTACAGACTAGAAAAGGTGGATGTTGCTCACTCCCCTGTGGGTGATGTGCACAAACTTCAAACATGCACTGCTCTTCTTCCCCCAATAAGGTACAATGGGCATAGAGTGACCAGCTAATAATTATATTAGTGAAATAAAATATTCCTGTTCTATTAAGAATAAATGTTATAAAACAAAATTTTTACTATTATATACAGAGCACGTGGTCTGTCTATTACCACCCAGATAAGTCCAGGGAAAGCTCCTAATAATTCCACTGGCAAAAGAAATTTGTTTCTAGTTCACTAATTTTCACAAGACCATCCTTACAGAGAAATATACATGTTAATAATATCTAAATATCTAGAAAGTTGGATTAAACTAAATTACTCTTTTTTAAAACAATAGTCTAAAATTTGCCCCAAAGCAATAATCTAGTGAAAGGGTACATTCATGTGCAATAATCACAAGTGTTCTAACCATTCTTCATCTAAAAGATATCCATTAATTCAATATTTTTATCTATGATTTTGAAGAAAGCATGTAATATAAAATCATTTTTCAACAACCTCAAATAAGTAGAAAATCTAGGTGTGACATAATGAGGAACATATTGAATTACTATATTCAGAGTACCCTCAAAAATGCACAGAACAAAGGCTTAAATGTAATTTAATAATCTCAACTTTATAGATTACTCAATGAACAAATGCAAAACTGTGTATATCTCAAACAGATGTGCTAATACTCTCTGAAGTCATCTGCAGAACACTATGTCACACATTTTCTCAAAAATATTTACAGGATTTCTTTTATTGTCCTGACAACCATTAAAATACCTTAAAATACTAGATTTATAAATTAAATGTAAAATTTTAACTTTTGCATAAAAAGAAAAGCTAAGCCAAAAACATACAAGAGTTAAAACATTCATTTGTCTTCTGAATATAAACATATTGATAAAAGGCTGGTGCCATCTTTATTTCATTTTCTTGTTTTCTGACAAATTAATAAACAAATTTAGAAATATTTATCACAATGTGGTAGCTTACAATTCTATTTTCAGACGTACTTTCCTCAAAATAATCTTAGCTAGGATTTCAAAAAGTGGTATTTTATAGATGTTATTTGTGTCACAATATGTCTTTTATCAGATACTGGCATACATGAAGTAGCTCTGGATAATTTGCATCCAATAGAGCTTTCTGTCTAATATAGTAGGCTATAGCCATGTGTGGCTATTGAGCATGTAAAATGTGGCTAGTGTGACTTAAGGAATAAATGTTTAATGCTTAATTTTAATTAGTTTATATTTAAGCTTAAATAGTCACTTGTGTCTAGTGTCTATCACACTGGATGATGCAGCTCTATATGTTACAAAATAACTGTTAAAAAGAATTGGTAATACACATGCACACACACACACACACAAAAGTTATAAATATTTGGAAAACATTGGTCAATATTTCAAAAGGTGTAGGAATATCTCAATAAAGGAATTAAATATTTTTTTCTATTTTTCTCAAAGAGTAACAAAACAAATCAAATTTATAAAAGGAAAGGTTTTGCTTTTAATTGTTCAAAGTCAGAAACATGAAATTCAGTGTAACTCTCTCTAGGTGAATATTTTGTCCACTGTTTTTGTTGTTGGGGAAATTTCTAGAAATATTAACTTAAGTATCTTCCCTGCCTATTATCTTAGGTTCCCTAGACTGTTCAAGGATAGTCCATGAGTCTGCAAGTAATGAAGGTTAAGAAATAGCTTTCAAGACACTAGATATTCTTCTCTGTCTGTGAAACTGTGACACAGATGGTATTTTAGGGGTATATCTGGCAGTGAGTTATGCTATCTTGTTGCTACCGCAGTTGAGACTGAAAAGGATCATAGAGTGGGAGATCTAGGCAGTGGCCCTACAGTACGCCCTTGCCAAAAGGCCTTTGGGGGTGAGTATGTACGTTTCTACCTAAGGGAGAGGTGGTGCTCAGATGGTGTCAGGGTGTTCCAGAAGTTTACATATCCTGCCAAAATATGGATTTGGGACTCCTAAGGAAGAAGTTAACAATTAACATTATAGCAATAAAGGAGTGTCATTCAAGCAACAAGACAACAGCTACACTCTCCTGATTGGTCAGATTACTACCAAAAAGAAAAAAAGTTTGCAAACTCACCATAAGCCATCCTATAACCGAGCCACAATGCACAACGGTTCCTGTTGAACAAAGGTTTGGAAGTCCTTAGAGGCTGAGCAATGGCATATCACTGTGCATATATAATCCTCTGTTCCTAGATGCAGTAAATTTGATCCTGAAAATTCCTGCTAACAAATATATGAATGTGGACCTAGACCAGCTGAGTTTTCTGAAGATAACCAGCCATTTCCTTTGAGGGAACTACACAGACACATTTCCTCAGAAGAGATTTAAGATGTAAGTTAAGATAATGTATTGTAGAAGACAAAGATATTAAGTGTCCCTAAATGGGAAAAGAAATACAACCTTTTAAAATCACAGTTTCTACAAAATCTGCTATTGATGAGGGAATCTTGGTAAACTGTACTAACTGCTATAGCTTATACAAGGGTCTTCAAAAAGTTCATGGAAAGATTCCTATTATTTTTTATTATATTTTTCTATGAACTTTTTGAAATACCATTATACCTGATTCTTACATATTAGATGGCAGGAAATTAATTTCTCTGTACATGTAAAACAGTGTTTTTTCATTATCACCTGCCTGGATGGATAGCATTTTTAGACATTTCTCCTTAGTTTTCACCCACTCCCTCCCCACAATTTTTATGACACAGCTACGCTGTGTATCTGCTTATGTACTGTGGCTGTTTGGAGGACCGTAAGCCATCAAAATACCTAAGATTTCTTTTGCTCCCCAAGGACCAATTTTCACTCCATAAGATGATATCAATTATGTTGAGAACAGTATACAATAACTTGAGAAAAAATAACTAAATGGGTAAGGAGTACACATGAACTGTATTTGGGGTGGTTTCCCATTCTCTCTGTTTTAACGCAGAATCTTTAAGATGGAGAGCACCCCTTCATTAGGAGAGATACAAGAGACACAGATGGAAATAAAGATTGTATTACTTACATGTCCTGGGGTTACATGGCATGCCTGGAAGCCACACACACAGAGGTAAGGAAGTGCGTGGGGGCAGGGTGAGGGGGAGAGAAAGAGAGAGGGAGACACCTGTGGGCCAATGCCTATATTAGGTCTAGGGCATTTTATCAAAACAGGTTTCCCACAAGGAGTTTTAACTGGTGGATTTAAAGCAAACAGGCATGAATTCCATGTGGTCATGCTGTGACTGAAGTTGGACACTGGTATAACTGTGCAGTCCATGTGATGTGTGGGGGTCAATAGGGCTGGTCAAGTAGGTTGTATCCAGCTATCCCATAGGGAGGTTGTCACCAGGATGCAGCTATGTAAGGAGATATCTGAATTGACCACACTGAGGAACTGAGAGGAGGTCCAGAACTAGAAACTGTCACAGGGGACTGAGCCCTGCTTCTGGTATGAGGAAGTTAAACTTATATTCAAAATGGATGCCGAGGAAACACAGAATTCTAAGAGTTCGCTACACTCTTCCACTGCACACACCTATCAGGACATACTGCCTAGGCTTCAGGAACATTCTCTAAATCACATACCTCATTTTGGTCCAATATCTTCGTTCCTGAAAAGGAAGGAACTCTTCAAACACTTTTGACGCCCAATGCCTTTATGCTATAAGCTAAGCAAAGAAATATCAAAAAATCTAGAATCTACAGGAATGAAAACTATGGAAAACTCACCATATTATTAATGTTGACATATGATTTAATTAGAACAGACTTCCCCAGATATATTAAATTATCGACTAGTTAAAAAAAATCCATACTGACTAGAAACATAGATAAATTTAGAATTAATGATATTATACTGTTAAGAGATCTTGTGAAAACCTCACAAGGATGAGCACTGATGCCAATGAGAATCAAAATGACAATGCTGTGTTGTTAGCTTTACGTGCAACTAGGACCTTGTTTTCCTCCATCGTTCTCCTCTTGGGAAAACACAATGAGTCAAATAGTAACATTCTAGATGGAATCTATAGGATTGGTTGTAGGGTCCTTTCATTTCTAATTTTAGTGATTTGTGTCAGTCTGACTAAAGGTTTGTTAATTTCATTAGTCTTTGCTCAAACAAAAGTTTCATGGATTTTCTTTATACTTTTTCTGTTTTTTGTCATTGATTTTTGCTCAAATCTGTATTATTTACTTCCTTCTGCTTGCTTTGGGATTCACTTTTTAGTTTAGTCTTTTTCTTGTTTCTTAAAGTGGAAGCTTAGGTTATTATCTTTCCTTGTCTCTGATATATTCACTTAAAACTATAAATTTCCCTCTAAGAATGTCTTTAGTTGTAACACATTCAGTACAAAATGTTTTCTAGTTTCTTTTAAGATTTTTTTCTTTGACCCATGGGTTCTGTGATAATTTCCAAATATTTGACAATTTCTGAATTGATTTAGGTTCTCATTTCCAATTTAATTCCCCAGAGGTCATAGAACATACTCTACATGATTTGTCTTTTTTTAGTTGATTGAGTCAGTTTTATTGCCTAACGTATAATCTTTCCTGGAGAATGTTCCAGGTGTGCTTGAAAATAATTTGTATTCTGCTGTTGTTGACCAGAGTGTTCTATATATACGAGAGTACTTCAAAAAGTTCATGGAAAGATTCACATTAACTTTTAATTCTATTTTTACACAAACTTTTTGAAGTATCCTACTATATATCAGGTCAAGTTGGTTGATAAAATTGCTCTAGTATGCTATAACCTCAGTGATTCTCTAATTGCTCTATCAGTGATTAAGAAGTAGGTATAAAGACAACAGCTATTACTGTTGAATTGCCTATTTATCCCTTCAATCATGTCTGTTTTTGCTGTATTTAACTTGAAGGCAATGTTGTTAGCGCTTATATAATAATCACATATTCCACATTAACCCTTCTATCATTATATGATATCCTTATCTCTAGCTAAATTCTATCTAACGTCTGTTTTTTCTGATGTCATAATAGCTACTCCAGCTCTCTTCTGGATATTCTTTGATGATATATAGCTTTTTCCATCTTTTTATTTTCAAAGTATTTGTGTCTTTTGTTGCAAAGTACCTCTTTTACACAGTGTATAGCTGTTTCATATTTTTTTTAATGGAATCTCCCAGTCTCTTTTTAAAATTTAGTGTAATTATAGTATGTCTGGATTTATGTTTGTCATTTTTTTATGTTTTCTATATGTCTTATGTCTTTCTGGTTCCTCTGTTCATCCTTAACTTGCTTCTTTTGTGTTAAATAATATTTTCTGGTGGTTCTTTTAATATTTTTTGAGTTATTTTCTTAGTAGTGATCCTAGTGTTTACAAAATGTACTTTAAATGATCACAACTCTATTCAGATTAACAACTTTGTCACATGTCTGTTTCTATGTTTTGAAATCAGTTTCAGATGAACAATTCTGTTACTCATTTTGCCCAGATTTCCAACAGGTCAATAATTGAAGCCATCGTTGATCCAGGCATGTTTATAAAAGTGACCCTGAGCCTGAGGTAGGTGACAGACACTAAACTCTAAGGATTTTCATCACTCTTGGACACAATAAACACACTATTAACTGATGGAAATCAGGAAACACAATGACCCAGACCCATGGCCTCTGAATTGCATAGACAAACTCTCATTCTCACTGGAGTGTTACAGTTCCCTAAGAGGAAAATCAATATTCTTGGGACAAAATACTTACTGCGAAAATCCCCACTGGTCCCCAAGGAAGGTAGAATTATTCATGATACTTTCCTTCATGTCATTTCACAAGGGAAATGTATAAATTCTTTCATATGTTTTTGATCCACATGAACCTGTGGGAATATAGTAAGTAAAATTTAATCACTTTACATTTAAAAATGTTTAATACAGCAGGTAGTTGAGGCTACCATGTGTATATAAAATTGCTCTCACAGCTGATGAGAAAAAAACTAAACACAAAGAAACAATGATTCAATTTTAGTGACTGGTTGGCAAGAAAATTCAAATATACTCTGACGATTCCCCATGTGGTATTTACTTCTCAATTTTCATATACTTGTTTCATATACTTGAAAAGTAAAAACCCATAACCTCTTTGGATTTTGCCCATCTCATTCCCTAAAGAGACCAAATATCATTTGGAAGATTCCAGCAGCTCAAACAAAAGTGTGCCTGGTTCAAATGTAGGTATAACCATTTCCCACATTTTCACTAATCATGTGCTGATCCCCCAGGGTCTGTTTCAACAAGTGTATTTATGCTGACTGCCAAGTGCTCAGAGTTGCAATTTCACTTCCAATTTGGATATGTATGTATCACTGTCCAATTCAACTTCTCTAATGTATGCGAGCAGGTTAGCTTTCTAATAATACAACAATCCTTGCTGGGACCACACTGCTGAAGAAGCTGAACTCTCAATCCATATAGTTTGCTTAGGGTGGGGTATCTATGCTGCACCTCATTTTCCAAAAGTGATTATGTAACTCATTTTTTTCCAATTTTTTTAACAAAATCAATTATTATAGTCATTACTGATATGCACAGGTTTCTAAAAGGAGGCACTGTTTGCCACAGAAAAGTGAAAGAAACTGAGCACTCTGAAGTACACTGCTCTGGGACACATTGAGGCACCCTATTCAGTCATGGAGACCAGCCTACACATATCAGTGACCTGGGCTCCATGGCTGTCCAGCACAGACAGTACCGTATGGAGTATTACATAATCCCTATGAGAAATGTCAATATTTTAGGGACAGAATGCTTACCAACCCAAGAATTCCTACTGGCCCTTGAGGATGGAATGGCAGAAATCATTCCTGATATTTAACTTTATGTCACATCTCAAGGGAAAGGAATAAACTCATGTGAAGCCCAGTACTTTATCAACCTGTGGGAATAGTCCAAACATGTGGGAAGATGAGAAGTATACAAGCATATGTGTCCACTGGTCCACCAGACATAAGATGGTAGGGTTCAGTTTCGTACCTGCACACTAAATTAGCTAATGTATTACTCTCCAAGGATGTTTCTGATGTTATTTAAATAACAGTCATTGTGTTAGTCTCTAGCCTCCACCAGAGCAAATATTGTCCAACATTTTCTGCCAGACAAATTAAATGTGCAACCACACTATCTGAGTATGCTTCAATTTCCAGGAAAATGTTGGCCTGGTGAGCATGCCATTTACAACAAAGTATAGCTACTTCTGTAAATTCAACCTCAGAATTACTTTACCTTCAAATATGACTCAATGGATTGGAAAGAAAGAAGTTACAAAAAGCCATGATAGGGGAATAAAGAAATAACTGTCTAAAAATGATTCACAGTACAGGATTATGCAGCACCTGATTCGACTCAAAGTGATCACAGCAACACAGGTAGGACATACACAGCATTATGGATATGGGACTAGAGGGGTCACAGAGAGGAAAAGCTGGACAGTGAGCTCTCTCACCATGGGATGCTTCTCATCCAGCTCTCAGAGTGATCTCACCAGGCCATACTGCTGAGGATTCAGTGGCATTTGGGCAAGCACACCCCTCAGTGGATCCAAACTTCCCTCTACCATGCCAGTGAGGAACGGCCTCTCTACCACTCTCCATGCCTAATTCCTATATGAGGCTTTATCAGGAAGTCTGACAAATCACAAAAATTGTTGAAAAGAACAACAGAAACTCTACACAGCACCAGTTAAGTTCCTGAATACAGTAGTCCCTCCCCACACTTACTTGCAGATTCGCTTTCCATAGTTTCAGTTACTCAAGGTCAACAGAGGTCCGAAAATATTATGAGTTGTCTTCAAAAAGTGGTATCTCATTGTGGTTTTGATTTGTATCTCTCTGATGGCAAATAATGTTGAGCATCTTTTCATGTGTGTATTTGCCATTTTTCATTTATGGCAAATCTTTAAAGATCTGTTCAAATCTTTAGCCACAAACAAACAAACAAATCTTTAACCCAGTTTTTAATTGGGTTATTTGTCTTTTTATTGTTGAATTCTTTATATATTCTGGATATAAGTCCTTTATCAGATATGAGATTTTCAAATATTTCCTTCCATTAAGTGGGTTATCTTTTCACTTTCTCAGTAATGTCCTTTAAAGTAGAACACAAAAGTTTTTAATTGTTTTTTTTTTTTTTTTCCTTTTTCTGTGTCCGGCAACGGATCACAACCCTCAGTGTTGCCCTGTACCGGACCGGGACCGGCAACAGGATCGCAACCCTCGGTGTTGCTCCCACACCTCGCTCAGCCAGTGAGCGGCTGGTCTGTATGTGGGATCCGAACCCTCGGCGGGAGTGCCGCCGCGCTTCCCAAGTGGCGCACTATAGCAGTGCACCACCGGGCCGGCCCTTGTATTATCTTTTAATTCTACTTTTCCATATATCTTTTGAAATACCCTCATATATGGAAAATTTCAGAAATAATTCTTAAGTTTTAAATTGCACACCATTATGAATATCATGGTGAAATCTCGTGCCATCCTGTTCTGTCCTGCTCAGAACAAGAATCATCCCTTTGTCCAGAGTATCCACTTTGTATATGCTTCCCACCTGTCCGTTAGTCATACAGTAGCCATTTCTGTTATCAGATCAACTGTTGCAGTATCGCAGTGCTTGTGTTCAAGTAACCCTTATTTTATTGCACTTAATAATGGCTGAAAAGTGCAAGAGTAGTGATGCTGGCAATTTAGATACAAAAAAAGAAGTCATGAGGTGCTTCCTTTAATGAAAGGTAAAAGTTCTTGACTTAATAAGGAAAGGAAAAAAAAAAAATGCTGAGACCGCTAAGATCTACAGTACAATAAGATATTTTGAGAGAGGGAGAAAGACCACATTCACATAACATGTCTTACAGTATATTGCTATAATTGTTCTATTTTATTATTAGTTATTATTATTAATCTCTTTCTGCGCCTAATTTATAAGTTAAACTTTATCAAAGGTATGTCTAGGACAAAACATAGTATATATAGAGCTCGGTATTACCTGTGGTTTCAAGCACCAACCAGGGGCCTTGGAACAAATTCCCCGCAGACAAGAAGGGACTATTATACTTAAAACAAGAAAAATAACCCCCCCCAAATTATAAAAAATTAGATATTACCTCAAGAGTATATTGTTGTCTTCCTTCTCAGATAAGGAAGCTGGAAGAAGTGACAAAATCAGCCCTTCAATGGTGTGGCAGTAAGAAATCCATGCAATTCCAATATCACTTTGAACCTACAAACCACAGGGGAAATTAGAGAAGCTAAGAAAGAAAATCTTCCAAATTGAATTAATGTTTACCGATAAGAGGAATTAATCATATATATTCATCGACAATCTGTGTAAGACAAAAGTACACTTATTCCACGCACCAGAAAAGTGCTGAAAGTACTTTTCTCTAAGACTTACTCAAACTTTTCCCAAAGGCCACCTCAGTATCACTCATAAAAAGTAGGATCTCTCTTAAAGTGCATAGGAAATCCACTAAAAATTATAAATATTAGCCAATAAAATCCATATAAAGTTGAGATAACCGAAAATTTAATAATTTCACAGTTAAAATGTTTAAAGCAGCCTTTGCTTGAATCACTCAAATGTCTAGAAAATTGTTCTTTCAGTGACAGAAAAAAAATGTACAAATTCTTGGAATGGGTTAGTAAGCAAATTTAAATATGATCTGAGATATTTCCATGACTAGAAACTACTCTTCATTTTCCAGACATTTCCTCTATCTAAAAAATTATTGACAGGACCCATAATATCTTTTGAACTGACCACCTAATTGACCTCAATAGACTGCTCTTCACTCAGATGATCACAATATGTAAGGCAATTGTATGAATGGCTCAAGGGTAGGCACAGTCATGTCTCATGTGCTGGCCTCAGGGAGTGTTTACTACAGTGTATAGATGCTGCCAGTCAACCACCAAAGAAGTAGCTATTTTATTCCAAAATGAGATATTTATAGACAACCGTCCAATTCATTTCCTCTGACATATGTGGTCAGGATAGCTTCCAAATAAAACTTGTCCCTGTGCACACTACTACCTGACTATCTGAACTTGCTTCACATGTGTGCCTAGCATGGTCCCCGTGCTGAACCTCAGATCACAGAAGTGGCTTGGTCACTCATTTTGTTCAGATTCATTTTGTAGTCATCATTGATCCAGGCACATTTATAAAAGGGACCTTTAGCCTGAACTATGTGGCAGACACTGATCACCCAGCTTTCTGTCGCACTGGGACTCAATGACCCACACTATTCAATCATGGAGACCAGCATCACAGCCAACGACCAGCCCAATGGTTGACCAGCATGGCCAGGGACTCAATGTCACAAGTATCATGACTCCCTAAGAGAAATGTCAGTATTCTTAGAACAAAATGCTTACCATGTGAGAATTCCCACTGACTCTTGAGGATGAGATGACAGAATTACTCTCAATACTTTCCTTCATGTCACATCTCAAGAAGATGGCATCAAATCTCAAACCCAGTTTTTGGTCCATGCCAATCTGTGGAAATAGTAAAATATGGAAAGATGAGAAATATACATGTCCATTTGTCAAACATGCAGAGATAGGATGGTTTATTATGTACCTTCATATAAAATAAACAAATGTAACTCTACAAGGCTGTTTCTGATGTTATTCTAAAGGGAGGAAGCACAAAAATCTTGGAAAGAAAGAAGGGGAAAGCCTCAGATGATTCACCAGATAACGCTTCACACTGTTTGGATTAACAGACACTTCACAAAGCTAATTTTGTACTTGATTATAGAAAAATATTATTTAAAACAAGCCATAGAAAGTAAATTTATTAAAAATTGGATATTACCTTTGGAGTGCATTGTACTGTTCTGTCCCTGAGATGAAATGGGTAAGAATGACAAAATCAGCACTTCTTTGTGATGATGGTTAGAATCCCATGAAATTCCAAATTCATTTCCATTTTGCAAAGCACAGAGGAAATTAAGGGAGTTCTGAAACAAAATATGCTCAGTTGAATAATTCCTGTAACAGTTTATAAGGAATTACCATAGATATTCAAATGACCATCTACGAGACTGGAAAAAACTATGCTTGTTCCTTGCAACGTAGTATAGAAAATCAAATTTTCTAAGATCTTGGTGTCAAAGTTGACCCAAAGGCCTCCCTACATAATACTCACAAAAACTGGAATCTCTATGTAAGCACACATATATTCACTAAAAGAATATGAGTATTAGCCAATGATGTCCACATAAAATTCTAAGAATTGGAAATTTAATTTCACATGAAAAATGTTTAATGAAGAATCTAATTCTTCTGATATCTGATCTAGACATCATCAAATGTCTACAAAAGTGCTCCCTAAATAACAGGAAAAAAAAATAATAAACACTGTTCTAATCCATGAGACTGGGCTAGCAAGCAAATTAAAATAGACAGTAAGATAACCCCATGAATACAACTTACTCTCCAAATTTCATGTATTTCTTTTATATAAGAAATAAATTACAAGAAAAGACTGATAATTTCTTCCTGATAGACTATCTCATAGACCTATCTATGGTGATCCTCACTGAGAAGACTATGGTATGTAAGACGATGGAGCGAATGGTTCAAGTACAGGCTCAGCCACTTCCACAGTGCTCACTGGTCATGCACCGATTCCCGAGGGTTACTTTATCGGGGTATGGATGCTGCCAGCCAAGCACTCAAAGAGTTGCCATGTAATCCCACAACACACATATATGTATATGTGTATATACATCCCTCTGTAATTCGTTTGCTCTGACATATGTGAGTGGGTAGTTTTCCAATACCTCAGGCCTTCTTGTTTGCTGAACAAACTGAACTTGCTCCACATGTCTGCCTAGTATGGTCCTGTGCTGGACCTCAGATCACAGAAGTGGCTTGGTCACTCATTTTGTTCAGATCCCAATGAGATCCTTTTTTTATGTCATCATTGATCCAGGCACATTTATTATAGAAGGGATCTAGAACCTGAGCTATGTGGCAGACACTGACCACCCAGCTTTCTGTCACACTGGGACTCACTGACCCACACTATTCAATTATGGAGGCCAGCATCACAGCCAATGGCCAGCCCCATGGCTGACAAGCATGGCCAGGATCTCACTGTCATCAAGTGTCATGATTCCCTAAGAGGAATGTCAGTATTTTTAGGACAAAATGCTTACTGTATAAGAATTCCCTCTGGCCACTGAGAATGGGAAACAGAATAATACACAACACTTTCCTTCATGTCACATCTCCAGGGTAAGGAATAAATTCTTTTACATGAAAGACAGTTCTTGATCCACGTTAACCTGTGGAAATAGAGACAATTTGTGGAAAGATAAAAGGTAAATGTGTACAACTGTCAACCATGCATGATACCAAAGTAAAAGTATATAATATATACTAAATTATTTCACTAGTAGGATCTTCCAATGTTATTTGAAAACAGAGGAAGTGTAAAAATACTGGAAAGAAAGGACACTGAAGCCCCAGATGACTAATCAGATTACTAAAACCTCACACTGTTTGGATTAAGACTCTTCATAAAACCAATTGTGATCTTTTTTGCTAAAAGGAAGTAATAGAAATAATCCAGGAAAAATAAATATATTAAAAAGTGCAATATTACCTCTGGAGTGCATTGTTCTGCTCATTGTCAGATATGGGATCTCATATATGTGACAAAATCAACAGTTCACTAAAGCAGTTAAGAATTCCATGAAATTCAAATATCACCTCCAACCTACAAAGTACATTGAAAAATTAGGGAAGTTAATGAATGAAACCATCATAATACAAAGCTTACTAATAACCATAGATATTCACTTGCCCACTTGTCCTACAATAAAAATTATGCTCACTCCTTGGAACAGGGTAATATTAAAAGTCATTTTTTCTAAGACCTAGGTCTCAGTTTCCCAACGGTCTCCCTTGACATCACACAATAAAACTAGGATCTCCACTTAAACACATATGAAATCTACTAAAAAAAAAAAATAAGTATGAGGCAATGAAATCCACACAAAATTCTAAGAATTAGAAATTAAATAATTTCACAATTAGAAATGCTTAATACAGGATCTACATGAATCTCACTCAAATGTCTGAAAAACTGCTCCTAAGGTGACAGGGAAAAAAAGTTCCAATTCTTGTGACAAGATCAAAAAGGAAATTAAAACATCCTTTAAAACTTTCCACAAATAGAAACTACTCTTTGATTTCCATATATTCCTTTTACTTAATAGATAAATGATAATTAAACACTCATAATAGCTTTTGCATTGAACACCTAATGAACCCAAAACTTGTGCTTGTACAAAAGATTGTGGCACCTAAAAAAAATGTGTGAATGGCTCCGGGGTAGGTGCATGGTTTCCCATTACTCTCTCTACTCCTATATGTTTCTGTAGGACCTGTTTACTATGAAAGTATGGATACTGCCAGCCAAACTCTCAAAGAGTTGCCACGTAATCCCACAATTGGTTATTTATAGAACTCTGCACAATTCGCTTGCTCTGACATATGTGAATGGGTAGTTTTCTGTAACTCAGGCTTTTTTGGTACTATTTGCTGACAAAACTGAACTTGCTCCACATGTTTGCCTAGCATGGTCCCTGTGCTGGACCTCAGATCACAGAAGTGGCTTGGTCACTCATTTTGTTCAGATCCCAATGAGATCCTTTTTTTTTTTACGTCATCATTGATCCAGGCACATTTACAGAAGGGACCTTGATCCTGAGTTATGTGGCAGACACTGACCACCCAGCTTTCTGTCACCTGAAACTCACTGACCCAACATTATTCAATCATGGAGACCAGAATCACAGCCAATGGCCAGCCCCATGGCTGATGAGCATAGCAGGGTCTCACTGTCATCAAATGTCATGATTCCCTAAAAGGAATGTCAGAACTCTCAGGACAAAACACTTACCATGTGGGAATTCTGACTGGATACTGAGGATGGGTTAATGAATTACTCCCCAAACTCTCCTTCTTATCATCTTTCAACAGAAAAAAAATTAACTCTCATATGACCCAGCTCTTGGTTCATGTCAACCTGTGGGAATATAGTAAATATATATAATGTAAGTTTACATGACCATTTATCAACCATGGACAAAATTGGATGGTTCAGTATGTAACTGCACATAAAATATACAAATTTATTACTCTGTTAAAATTTACCCCATATTATTCAAAAGAGAAAAAGTAGTAAATTCCTCAAAATATATGAGACAGAAGCATCAGATGTGTCAGCAGATTACTAATACTTCACACCATTTGGATTTACAGGTTCTTTACAAAACCAATTACATTCTTGATTACTTGAAAAAATAAGAGTAACCCATAAAAAATATATTTTTTTAAAAAATTGCAATGTTACCTTGGAAATCAGTGTTCTGATCATTCCCAAAGAAGGAAGTTGATAAAAGTGACAAAACAATGGTGTGGCAGGAAGAATTCCATGCAACTCTAATGTCACTTCTCACCTACAAAGCACAGGGTAAGGTAGTAAATTGAGGAACAAATACCTTCCGAACTGAATGTTTACTCTTATGAGATTCCAAGAAATTAAGCATAGATATGCACTTGACAACCTACATGACAAGAAAATTACACTAACTGCTTGAACAAAAAAGTAGAAAAAGTCAAAGAAACAGGTGTCAAAATTTTCCCAAAGGTCTCCCTCAGCATTACTCATTAAAACTGTGATCTCCCTTTGAACACATATGAAGTAGAAGGAATATGAATATCAGCCAAGGAAATCCACATAAACTCCAAGAATTGGAAATTCAATCATTTCACTGTTTAAAATGTTTCATTGTTTCATGCAGCACCTGTCTGAATCCCACCCTAAAAAGTTTAGAAAACTGTGCTCAGGGTGACACAGAAAAAACCATTTCCACTTTTTGTGACTGTATCAGGAATCAAATTAAAACATTCCGTAACCCCTTCACAAGAATAGAAACTACATATTCCATATATGCCTTTTACTCAAATGATGAAAGCCAAGTAAAGATTATTAACTTCTTTCAAACTGGCTATCTAACGGGCCTCAATAGACTGCTCCCACTGACAAGACTGCCTCATGTTAGTAAATTATGTGAACAGCTCAAGGGTAGGCACAAATGTTTCCCACAGTGCTCACTGCACATGTGCTGACCCCAGGGTGTGTTTATTACCAGTGTATGGATGCTGCCAGTCAACCACCAAAGAAGTAGCCATTTTATTCCACAATGGGATATTTATAGACAATTCATTTCCTTTAGCATATGTGGTTAGGTTAGTTTCCAAATAACCCTCTCCCTGTGGGCACTACTACCCTCCCAGCTTTCCATAACCCTGGGACTCACTGACCCACACTATTTAATCATGGAGACCAGCATCACAGCCAGTGACCAGCCCCACAGCTGACCAGTGTGGGCAGGGTCTCTCTGTCATTGAAGTGTCATGATTCCCTAAAAGGCATGTCAGTATTCTCAGGACAAAATGCATACCACATGGGAATTCCCTCTGGTTGTTGAGGATGGGAGGCAGAATCATTCCCAATGCTTTTCCTTCATGGTGAGACACAAGGGAAGGAATAAGTTTGTTCATATGGAATCCAGTTTTTAGTTTACGTCCTGCTGTGGGAGCACATTATACATATGGAAATATGAGAAGTATACATGTTCATTTTTCAAACTTGCCTAAGACACGAGGTTTCACTATGTTGTAACTGCTATGAAGTACACTAATTTTATTACTCCTATAGGATGTTTCTGATGTTATTAAAAGCTGAGGAAAATATAAAATCTTAAAATAGAGGAGACTAAAGCCTCAGAGAGCTCATCATATGATTAATGCCTAATATTATTTTTATTAACTGACTCTTCGATCATCCAATGAAATTCTTGTTTACTAAAAAAATAACAAAAATAACCCACAAAACCAAATTTACTGAAAAGAGGCATGAGCCAAGGGAAGCACCCACTGCCCAGAAGCAGACAAGGAGCCCGATGAAAATGACACTACTGCGTGGGTGGCCCACCACAGCCACTTCTACAGCCATGACTGCCATGATCAAGGAGGCTCAAAGATCACCAGATTCAACCCAAAAACATCCTTGCCAAGACACACTGTAGTCAAACTGGCAAAGCTCAAAGACAAAGAGAGAAACTTAAAAGAAGCAAGAGAAAAGTGTCAAGTCACCTATAAAGGAGCCCTTGTCAAGACTATGAGCAGTCTTCTCAACAGAAATTCTACAGGTCAGAAGAAAATGGGATGATATATTCAAAACACTAAACAAAAAATACCGCCAGCCAAGAATACTACACCCAGCAAGGCTGTCCTTCAGAACTGAGAGAGAAATAGTGTATTTTCCAGACAAACAAAAACTGCAGGAATTCACTACCACATGACCAGCCCTGCAAGAAATCCTCAAGGGAATCCTGCATAAGGAAACCAAAAAAAGATAACCACTCATCTTACCAGCTATAGTTCTGTTCAATCTTTCTGGTTTTTTTTCATAATTCAGTGTTGGCAGGTGCCATGTTTCTAGGAATTTATTCATTTCGTCTAGATGATCTATTTGTTGACCAAAAATTACTCATAGTATTTTCTTATAACCCTTTTAATTTCTGTAAACTTGGCTGTAATGACTCTTCTTTCATTTCTGATTTTAGTTATTTGAATCTTCTCTCTTTTTTTTAGTTCACCTGGGTAAAGGTTTGCCAGTTTTGTGGATTTCATCAAAATACCAACTTTTGGTTTCATTTATTTTCTCTGTTTTTTTCTATTTCTTTTACCTATGCTCTAATTTTTATTATTTACTACCTTTGCTAGGTCTGGGTTTAGTTTGCTCTTCATTTTCTAGTTTCCTAAAGTGCAAAGGTGATTGTTGATCTGAGATCTTTCTTTTTAATTAATGTATGCACTTACATTAAAAAAATTTCCCTTTTGGGCCGGCCCGGTGGCGCACTGCTACAGTGCGCCGCTTGGGAGTATGGCGGCGCTCCCGCCGAGGGTTCGGATCCCACATACAGACCGGTTCCCGCTCACTGGCTGAGCAAGGTGCGGGTGCAACACTGAGGGTTGCGATCCTGTTGCCGGTCCCGGTCCGGTACGGGCGCGACACTGAGGGTTGCGATCTGCTGCCAGACACGAAAAAAGACAAAAAAAAGGAAAAAAAAAAAATTTCCCTTTTAGCAAAAACAAAACATTTATATAAAAAAAATTTTTCTGTCATTTTTTTGGAGTTTAAAAGTACCTAGTTATTTTTACTGCAGTTTTTCATCCTGTTTTTTCACTTAATATTACATCTTGAAAATTTGTCTTAAATACTCTTCAAAATTATGATTTTAATAACTGTGTTATATTTTATGGAGGCCCATAATTTATGTAGCCATTCTCATATTGTTGAATGTTCAGTTTATTCCCAATTTTTCACCTTTATGTAAATGCCTTCCACATAAAAAAATTTTTTTTTCTTTAGGGGTTTCAAGAAGTTAGGATAATTGGTTGAAAGTGTATGAACATTTTAAAGAATTCTATTTATAGGGGCCGGCCCAGTCACGCACTGGAGAGTGCACCGCTTGGGAACGCGGCGGCACTCCTGCCGAGGGTTCGGATCCCATGTGGAGACCGGTTCCCGCTCACTGGCTGAGCGTGGTGCGGGTGCAACACCAAGGGTTGCAATCCCGTTGCCAGTCCCCGGTACGGGCATGACACCGAGGGTTGCGATCCCGTTACCAGTCAGTAAAAAAGACAAAACGGGAAAAAAAAAAAAAAAGAATTCTATTTATGAATCCAATCTGTTCTTCAAAAAAGTTTTACCAGTTTATATTTATACTAGAAGATTTTGAAATTGTTTCTCTTATAGCACCAGTATTATACAGTATCCTATTTTTTTCAGTTTGAGAAATGAAGTGTCATTTTTCTGTTTTAATTTCAATTTCTATGAACATCTTAGAATGTATTTATTAGCCACTTGTGTTTCTTTTGAGTGCGACTTGTCTGCTTATGTCCTTCACCAAATTTGCTAAGATTTTTCTAAATCATTACTAAGAATTCTTTATGCATTAAGGATATCAATCTTTGTGTGTTAAATTTGTTCCTTATTTACTGACATTAAATTCAATTTGTGATGTTTTCTCCTTTGTATGTTGAGAAAATAATTTTCCATCTAAACATTAAATTAATTAAAAATAAATAAGTTTACTGAAAATTGGATGTTACCTCAGGAGAATATCCTGTTCCTTCCCACATAAGTTAGATGGTACAAGTGACAAAATCAGCACTTCACTGGTTCAGCAGTAAGACTCCATGGATTTCTGTCACACTAGTGTACAAAGTACAAGAGAAATTAAGGATGTTGCGAAACAAAATTTTCCCAATGAAATATTTATTTATAAGCAGCTATAATAATTAGCAATAGATATTCATTAGAGCAATTTTATGACAAAACAATTATACTCACATGTTTGATCATGATAATACAGATATAATTTTTTGAGATATAATTTTTTCTAAAACATCCATATCAAAGTTTCCTCAGCTTATGTACTTCAAAATCATTTATTATAACTAAGATACCTCTTTAAATATAGTGGAAAGTCACTGAGGATATATAAAAATGGCCAATAACATGTAAAAATCCAAGAATTTGAAACATATTTATTGCACATCTAAAAATATTTGATGTAGCATGTAGTTGAAACTTGCACTCAAATGTACATGAAACTGCTCAGTTAAAAGCAAAAATAAAAAAAAAGGAACTGGTCCAATCCTAGTGACTGGGTTGGCAGGAAATTAAAATAAACACATGAAATTGTTTCATTTAAAAGAAAATGAGAAGTAAAAACTCATAATACCTTTGAATTTTGACCTTCTCATCACCCACAAGAGATTGATCATCACTCAGAATTTTCTGGCTTCTTGGACAAATTGTCTGGCAGCTCAGACAAATGTATGAATGGACCGAGTACAGGCACAAACATTTCCCATGGGTCTCACTATTCATGTGCTTGTTTCCCAGGATCTGTTTCTATGTTGTATGGCTGCTGCCAACCAACCACTCAAAGAGTTTCTATTTTAACCCAGGATTGGATATTTACAGACAACTTTCTAATTCATTTTCTCTAACATATGTGGTCAGGTTAGTTTCCAAATAACCATGTCCCTGTGGGCACAACTACCTGACGACCTAAACTCACTACACGTGTTTGCCTAGGATGGTCCCTGTCTGGACCTCAGATCACAGAAGTGGCTTGGTCACTCATTTTGTTCAGATTTCAGCAAGATCCATTTTTTTAAATGTCATCTTTGATCCGGGCATATTTATAAAATGGACCTTGAGCCTGAACTATGTAGCAGACACTGACCATCCTGCCATCTGTCACCCTGGGACTCACTGACCCCCACTATTCTCTCATAGAGACCAGCATCACAGTCAACGACCAGCCCCAGGGCTGACCAGCATTGCCAGGTCTCACTGAATTGGAGTGTCATGATTCCCTAAGAGAAATGTCAGTATTCTCAGGACAAAATACTTACCAATATTAGAGCTTCCACTGGCCATAGAAGATGTGATGTCAGGATTATCTCCAATGCTTCCTTTTCTTCTTGTCATGTCTCATGGGAAAAAATTAATTTGTCCATGTAAAACCCAGCTCTTCGTCCATGTCGACCTGCTGAAAAGATTATATATATAGAAATATAAGATATATACCTGTCCGTCTTTCAAACTTGCGTAAGACTGGAGGTTTCTCAATGTAACTGTATATAAAATATACCAATTTTAAAATACTCAACCAGGGAGTCTGAAGTTATTCAAAGTAGATAATAGCATAAAATCTTAAAGAAAATTGAACTTCAGATAGCTCATCAGATCATTAATGCCTAACGTTGTTTTCATTAACTGACTCTCCACAAAACAGTTAAATTCTTGTTTACTTAAAAAAATAAAAATAACCACAAAAACAAATTTACTAAAACTTGGAATGTTACCTCAGAAATGTTCTTTTGTTATTCCCAGATAAGGGCGCTGGTACAAATGACAAAATCAATACTTCATTGGTTCGACAATGACATTCTATGGGATTCCATGACACCCAATCTGCAAAGTATAGGGGAAATTAAGAAAGTTGTAAAACAAAATTCGCCTAATGGAATACTTAAAAGCAGTTATAAGAATCCAAATTAGACAATTATTGGGCCATCTGTGAGATAAGAACAATTATGCTCACATCTTTGATTACAGTGGTACAGAAATATTTTTCTAAGTCATTTGTCTCATTTTCTCCAACACATCCACTTCAAAATCATTCACTGTACTTTAAATACAGTAGAAACCCATTTAGGATATATGATAAAGTGGCCAGTAAAACTCATGTAAAAAATCCAAGAATTTGAAATATAATCATTTCACATCTAAAAATGTTTCATGTAATATGTAGATGAAGCCAGCACTGAAATATATACAAAATAGCTTGCTTGGTTGACAAGAAAATGAAAAATGAAGAAACAACTGTTCCAGTCCTAATGACTGGATTAACAATCAAATTAAAATATACTAGAAGATCAGATCCCATATACGGTACATATTCTTTAATATCCATGTAATTGTTTTATCTTACAGAAAATTAAAAATAAAAACTCATCATATCTTTGGATGTTGATTATCTCTTCACCCTCAAGAGGTAGATCATAAACCAGAAAATTCTGCCAGCTCAGACAAATGTGTGAATAGCTCAAGGGTAGGGACAATAATGTCACATGGGATCACTAATCATGTCCTGGTTCCTCAGGATCTATATACTACATGTCTGGGCACCTCCAACCAAGCACTCAAAGAGGTGCCACATGTCAAACCACAATTGGGTATTTACAGACCTCTGTACAATTCATTTGCTCTAACGTTTGTGAGTGGGTAGTTTTCCAATACCACAGGCCTTCCTGGTTGCTGAACAAACTGAACTTGCTTCACATGTTTGCCTAGCATAGTCTCTGTGCTGGACCTCAGATCACAGAAGTGGCTTGGTCACTCATTTTGTTCAGATTCCAACAAGATCTATTTTTTTTTATGTCATTATTGATCCAGGCACATTTATAAAAGGGACCTAGAGCCTGAGCTATGTGGCAGACACTGACCACCCACCTTTCTGCCACACTGGGATTCACTGACCCATACTATTCAAACATGGAGACCAGCATCACAGCCAATGACCAGCTCCCTGGCTGATCAGCATGGCCAGGGTCTCACTGTCATTGAAGTGTCATGATTCCCTAAGAGTAATGTCAGTATTCTCAGAACAAAATGCTTACCGTATGGGAATTCCCACCAGCTTCTCAGGTTTTGATGTCAGACTTATCCATGATACTCTCTATCATGTCAGTTCTTGAGGTGAAAAAATAGCTTTCATAAAAAACCTCTGATAGTTCCATGTTGAACTGCAAAAATTGAGCAAAAGTGAGGAAAGATATGTAACACAGACATTCAATGTTCAAATGGCCTAGAGATTGCCACATTGCAGACATTCTTGCCTTTATAGCCTCAGTGTTCCCTGTACTGGAGGATCTCCTCCTGTATTTGATGAGACTATTGACTAGGTGGCACAGGTTGGGTTATTCCATATGAGTGAGCTGCTTGAACTATGAGGCATTCCTCATTCCTGTGGGCCAAGTTTCCCTTTCCCCACTTAGAAATACCTGGCATCCCAGTATAGGGAAACACTTCACTGTTTCAGGCAGCACTAGTAGGAGGGAGTGGGAGGGCCAGCAGCATCATATAAACCAAGGGACCAAAAAAAAAAAATCACGGGCTGGCCCGGTGGCGCACTCGGTAGAGTGCGGCACTTGGGAGTGCAGCGGCGCTCCTGCTGAGGGTTCGGATCCCATATAGAGACCGGTCCGCTCACTGGTTGAGCGCGGTGCAGGCGTGACACCGAGGGTTGCAATTCCGTTACCGGTCACGACAAAAGACAAAAAGGAAAAAAAAAATCACGTTATCTCTGATAATGAGACTGCCAATGGAACCATGGCCTGCAAAAGTAGAACAAGATATTCATATTAAATCTAAACAGAGTGCATGCCTGCTAAACTAAAAAATTTGGATAGCATCCAGATTCCTGTAATAACAAAAAATGTCCAAGATACAATAAAACATCACTCATAAAACAAGAACAGCAAAATCACAAGTAGAAGGAAAATCACATGTAGAATGAGAAAAAGACATTCAACTGACACCAGCCTCAATCAAATGTTGTGGTTATCTGGTAATAAATTTAAAATAGTCAAGTTAAAAATGCTTAAGCAAATAATTACAAATTCTCTTGAAATAAATGAGAAAGAAAATCTCAGCTAGGTAGAAGTTATAAAAATAAAGCAATAGAATTGAAAAATTCAGTAATAGAAATAAAAATCTTACTGGATAGGCTCAATAGTAGAGTAGAGACAGCAGAGGAAGGATTAAGTGAATTAAGCATAGACCAATGGAATTTAGCTAATGTGAACAACAGAGAGAAAATATGAGGGGTACTTCAAAAAATTGGAAATATAAAATTAAGAGATAATATAAATTTTCACATGAACTTTTTGATGTACCTTGTACTCTGAAAAAAAAAGAAAAAGAAACATAGCCTCGTGAACTTGTGTGTGAGATGGAGAGGTTAGAATTTCTGTACATTAAATATTTCATTGAAGAAAAATGTAATAATCTAATGAAAGTTAACACAGAGTAGTAAAGAAGTAAGCATAAATATGTGGGAGTTTGGCTTCACTGTCACATAAAACCAGTTCCACATTATGACCTTCCAGTAATCAAACAGACATAGAGAATACCAATCATAATTCAGCACAGTCGAATTTTATGATAGAGGAAAATATATGATAAATATTATCAAGAATTTTACAGTTTTCATCAAAGCAGAAGTTGATAAAATGAAAAAACATGATAGCACAGGAAGAAGACTCATGAGGGAAAAGACCCATTGTGAAAACATTCTCACAGAAGCCCACAAACAGACAAACTAAGTCGCATAACAGACATCAGTGGACATGCAACATGGGAAATACTTCAAAGACACTAGACACTAGCATCCACTCACCTTTATTTACTGAAGTGCTGCATCATTCTATACAGTTTATCTGTGGAAATTTTTCTGTAGGACAGAAAACAAAGCCAAGAAATGAGGTCATAGATTCATGGCAATTATTAATAAACCCATATAATGAGCATCTATATCATTATTTTGTATTCAGATATCCAGTTTTCCTGTCATTCTCTCTCAACACTACTGGTTCTATTGATGTATTTGACTGATATATAGTTGTTAGTGTGCTTTCAAATTCATATCTTTACTTTTTCCCTCACTTAATGTTTAATGTGACAAATATTGCTAACAATCTCCATGAAGGAGCTAAAAACAATCCAACATTAATCTTCTCAATGAGAAATTATGAAGGTGCAGAATATCTCATGAAAAAATTAAGACAGTGTTATGTGTGGAGAAAAAGGAAAAGCATATACACAGGTGCATTGGGAAATCACTGATAAAAGTTGCCCGTTTGAGCCATTCTGAGAGTCCTATTTGTCCTATAAGAGGGACACATGGTAAATCTCAGACAATCATCTGGAGTGAATCATCCCAGATCCTCATACAATTATGATCATTATTTATCCCAACTAGGCCATTTCTGACAAACAGACATTTCTATAACTACAGTTTACTTTTCTCCAAGCTTATTACTTGCTTTGAGAACACAAATGACGACAGGGCACATGGCCATTGTACTCAGTGTTAGGGCATCTGGAAATAGAACTGGCCTCTGCAGAAGTTGCAGTAGGACCACTTCTAAGGAGATAGCACAAGTTAGGGGACGGCAATATTGACATATACTCTCAACTAATAAAAATTAAGACAGAAGCTAACTGTAATTTCAGGATTTATCATTTAATATGTAATTGAAATCAATCCCTTTCAACTGGAATAAAATAAAATATTTCCATCTGAAAACTTGGCCTGCAAATGTAATTTTCAATCCAAAACAGACAACCATGTCATTATAGTTTCATTGTCTTCTACATGAAATTCTTCTTTATTTTGTGTGGTGAGAACACTAAAATCTACTCTCTTAGCTATGTTCAAGTATATAATACATTGTTATTCACTATAGTCACTCTGCTGTACAATAGATGTCTTGAATTTATTTTTCCTGTCTAATGGAAACTTTGTATACTTTGAACAACATCTCCCCAACCCTCCTGCCCCAACCACTGGTAACCACCACCATTCTACTCTACACTTCTATCAATTCACCATTTTTCAATTCCACATATAAGCGAGACCATGCAGTATTTGTTTTTCTGTGCCTGGCTTATTTCACTTAATAAAATATTCTCCAGGCTCATGCATGTTGTCACAAATGACAGGATTTCCTTCTTTTGTAAGGCTGGATAGTATTCCATCAGGTACATATACATTTCCTTTATCCATTCATCTGATGATGGACATTTATTTAGGTTGATTCCACATCTTGACTACTGTGAATAATGCTGACTATTGTGAATATGGGACTGCAGATAACTCTTTGACACACTCATTTCATTTTCTTTGAATATATACCCAGTAGTGAGATTGCTGGATCATATGACAGTTCTATTTTTAATTTTTTGAGGAACTTCCATACTGTTTTCCATAATGACTTCTCTAATTTACATTTCTACCAACAGTGTACCAAGGTTCCCTTTTCTCTACACAATCACCAACACTTGTTATCGTTCATCTTTTTGCTAATAGCCATTCTAACAAGTGTGATGTGACATCTCATTACAGTTTTAACTTGAATTTCTCTGAGGATTAGTGATGTTGAGCTGTTGAGCTTTTTTTTTTCCCCCCTCATATACCTATTGGCCACCCATATATCTTCTTTTGAGAAAAGTCTATTCAGGTCCCTTACCCATTTTTTATTTATTTTATTTTTTATTTTGGTAGATATTCTACCTTACCCATTTTTTAATCGAGTTGTTTTCTTGAAATTGGGTTTCTTGAGTTACTTATATATTTTAGATATTAACCCCTTATCAGATGTATTGTTTGCAAATATTTTCTCCCATTCTGTAGAGTGTCTCTTCATTCTGTTGACTGTATTATTTGCTCTGCAGAAGCTTTGTAATTTGAAGTAATTACATGTGTATATTTTTGCTTTTGTTCTCTGTACTTTTGAGGTCATATGCAAAAAAATCATTGCCAAGATCAACATCATGAAGCTTTTCCCATATGTGTTCTTCTAGTAGGTTTAGGTCTTGTACATAAGTCTTTAATCCATTTTGAATTGATTTTTGTATGTGGTATGAGATATGCATATGATCTAATTTTTCTGCTGGATATCCAGTTTTCCAAACATCACCGAAGAAACTATCCTTTCTTCATTGTGTGTTTTTGGCACCTTTGTTGAAAATCAATTGATTATAAATGTGTGAATTTATTTCTGGGCTTTCTATCCTGTTCCATTGGTTGATGTGTCTCTTTTTATGCCAATATCATGCTGTTTTGATTACTATAGCTTTGTAGTAGATTTTGAAATCAGGTAGTATGGTGCCTCCATATTAAAACTGTTATTCATAAAAACACACTCTCAGTATCATTTAATTATGACCTATTTCCCACTGTTTTCCAAAATATTAATATTTTTGCACATTCTGTCTTATATTCACTCATTGTAAGTTAATGTAAAACAATAGAGCCTCTGGGAAAATTATCTTACAATTGTCTTTTCACAGGAAAATTCCCTGAAATGGTTAATATAAATGTGAAATATTGTATGCTAGGGGCCAGATAGCTACCCTGTATACTGGAAATCTGATATGTAGGAGTTGAATGAGGTATGGCTGTTTTAGGCATATATGACTGCAATATGAAGATCAGTGTGAACTTATCTAACCAACTTGAACTAAGTGACATTTATAAAACATCATGTCTAATAGCCAAAGAACACACACATTTTTCAAAAGCAATGGATCATGCACCATAATAGGTTCTATCCTAAGCGATATTAAGTTTGAATTTCACAACATTTCTGAATACCTCATCCTTTTTTATTTGTATTTATTCAAACATTAACATAAACTTATGTTTACAGACAGCTCTACCTCTAGAGTGAGTGAGTTCTTACTCTATAAGTTCCCATGACAGCTGGTTGTTAAAAAAATCCAGGCACCTCCCCCCGATCTTGTTTCCTCTCTCCCTTCCTCTGTTTGCACACATCAATCCCAGCCTGATGCTCTTGTCAGGTGCAGTTGTCCAAATATGGACTTTCCAGCCACCAGAATCATGAGCCAAATAAACCTCTGTTCTTTATAAATTAACCAGTATTTTGTTACAGCAATGCAAAACAGACTAATACATTTACTGACATAAGCAGTACAGATGATTCTAATCGACACTGTGACTTTTTTTATCTAAAGCACTCTCTTGGATCTCCAAGTGTGAATGAAAACATAAATGTTCTTTACATACAAATTTGTATTAGATTCCATGGCAATGACACCTGTGAAGAGTCAAGGATGCATAAGGCCCCTTAATTGCAGATACAGGCATTGGTCAACAAGCATGATGTTATGTTCTCGGGGCAATATAGCTTGCATCTTCATTTGATGCAATAGAATTTAAAATGGGAACAGATTTTACCTCACTAGGAAAATCCCTTCAGTGTAAAATTCCCTAATTTCAATCCTAATAAACATGCTGAAATCAATCTCTTTAAAAACAAGGATGGTGACTTTGGCCACCTGTAAACAGTAAAAGTTGCCACAGACCCCTGGCCTAACAGACACTGCTTTTTACATATGCCCACTGACAGTTTGAATACATGCTCTCTCTCAGTAAATCTGACAATAATATCCATCTTGTACCTTTGGGAGATAACAAAGTGGAATACACTGGACCAAAAACAAACTACTAGGCAGTAAAATCTCTACAATAAAGATGCAACACCCATGGGACAAGAAGTAGAAATAGCAGTTACATGAATGGACTGGCCAAACCTAACTCATACCACTGCTGTTCACTACCACTCATACAGAGAACATAACTGGTAAACCAGAGAGCCCAAATTATAATGATAAAGTTCCATGCAGAATGTTGCAGGATAACTGTCCTGAAGAACATAAGTACTTTTCCTTTTCCCTCTCATTATCACAATTAGCAAATCCAAGATAGCAGGAAAAAACTCCCACATCTATGTTTCCGCAAGAATCATCCACATTCCTGGAATAGAAGAATATGAGAAAAAAAGTATAAATCCTAGTGGAATTGATATGGGTTGAGAGGTGAAAAGTTAAGACCTTCCCTAATGCTAAAACTTAGTCTTGAGGAAGCAAAAAAAGAAAATGATTGCCACAACAGATTACTTCTAGATGTCACCCAAAACTGATTAAACTTGCCATTAAAACAAACAAAATACCAACTAGAAAACACAAAGTCTTTGATTCATTGGAAGTCATATTTTATACAGGCAAAATCTCAAATTTTGCTCACTGAAACATGCTAAGTGTGATGGGTAAATCAAACCATTACTGGAGTGAATGTGAAAGAGTAAGTATGAGATATCTACACAGGTGAAAAAAGGGATTTTATCCCCAAAATACAAGAAGTACAGTAGGATAGAAGACAAAATTTAAATATAAAAACTTGCATGCAGAATTACTTGTGGGAGGCAAGAATGCACCTGTGGATTATAAATATCTCTATTAAAACCACAACCATCATGGAAACTGGACCATATCATTTCAGGATCCATTTCCAGACTCTTCAATTACAATATAAATATTTTAAAAACCATGAAAATCCATAGGAAAATGAGCCAACAAACCATAGATGAAGATGACAAAATATTTTACAAATAACTAGCATGATTTGAACTATTCTGCATTCACCAAACTTTTGTTTTATTACACAAGAGATGGGAAGTAAATTGTTAAAATTTAGGTAATGACCTAAGTAGATATAGTCCTGCAAACACTGACCCCACTTTAGGGTACTATACTTCACTAAAATCATATTTGCTCTCTTAACTAAATTAGAAAGAAAAGGTATCAGAAAATATGTTGGTGCATTATGTAAAGCCAGAAGAGGAAAGCATCAAGGAGTTACATTAGAAG